CATTAATTCTATAGAATTTATTTTTTGTTTAGAGGTAGGTACCCAACTTTATTTTACTTTCAATATAGATAATCAATTATCTCATCTCTGCTTGTTAAATAGTCTTTCACACTAATTTTTAGTGCCAACTCATTGACATTTTAAGTTTTCATATATGTGATGGACTATTTTGTTCATATAATGGAACAATGAATAAAACAGTTCTGCTGACTATAGGCAGGAACATATAAAGAGAAGTAATAGGAGATCAGGTTGGAAAGCTAAACTAAGTATAGTTCGAGTAAACCTTAAATACAATTAATGGTCTCCTACCAGTCCTCAAATCTAGTCAGGTAGCAGTCATCTAGAGCAGAAGTCCAATTATGGCCTGTGAGCCCAGTCCAGGCTGACACCTGTTTTTGTAAATAAATACCTATTGGAATATACTTATTTATGTATTTCCTGTGACTACTTTGACAATGGCATAACTGAATAGTTGTGACAGAGGTCATATTTATGGCTCCCAAAACCTAAAAAAATTTCCTATGTTGTCCTTTACACAAAACATTTGCTGACCTTTGACCCAGAGACTCAGGTATAAACTCGGCCTAGATGCCATGGTAGCGTTACCTCTTTATGAGCTACATAACTCTGCTGCCTTAACCAAGCAGTCAGCTTTAGTTGATCATGACAGATAAATTCCAATCGTAGCATTACAAAATGGGGCTCTACCCCTTTCTTTAAATTTAAGGGATTTATTTAATGAATCATGTAATAAATAATTTATCATTTCTTTAATATATTATTGAAATTATTTAATTAATAATTTATTTAATTCATTTAAAAGGATTTATTCTCATCTCTAGTGATGGCACAATTTCACCTTTTAGAACCATGACAAAACCTAAGATGTAACTGACTAGATTGACTAATTATTCTGGAGTCTGAAGCAGGGCCCCATACTTTGTTTCCCATTTTTAGATTTTAAATGAGTCTTTGGCATGTATTAGTTCTCAAAAAAAAATGTAGTTTGATCCCAAATCTCACTTCCTTACAGATAATGCTGTCACTGGCTTAGGACATAATGCTTTTGCTTTAGCTTTCATAAAAGCTTGACACAAGAAACACTCATTTAAAATCATTTCTGGTCTTTAGCAAAGCTATAGCTATAGACATTGTCCATTTTGTACTCAATGTTGCTTACGATCTTCTAGGATATAATTTCAGATAACAGGGAAGCTTTAACTAAATCACAATGCTCAACTTACTTTACCTACAGGGAATGTCAGTTCTAAGAGGAATGGAGGAGAGAAGATGCTCATGCCCTTAGCAGCAGGGGTGAAGGAAAAAACTGAGGAGGAACCAGCACATTGCCTAGAGGCCCTTCTGAAGACTCTTAGATAACTAACGAAAGGGCTTCCCGCATCTCCTGAGAGAAAAGTCCACAGCCCAAATCCCAGGTACCCTACTCACAGTTTCCAGGTGCTAGGACCCAAAACAATGAAGCATCAAGACCTTAGATTTGCTGGATTAAAGGCAGGGCAGTTCTTGTCTACCTGCTATATGCATTGTTCTTGGGAGGGCAAGGAAAAATATCTAATTAAAAAATAGTGGGATGTATGAAGAAATTGGAAATAATTTCTCATAGGGGAAGAAAAGACAATTATTTTGTGGAGAGTAGGAGAAAAAGGAAAGGAATTTGTGGCCCGGCCCCTTCCCAGGTCTCTTGGGCTATGATTTCTCCCCCTAAAAGATGAAAAGGCCTGGCAATCTGTGTACCCGATTAATGGAAACAGCAATTTTCAAAGTAGCTCCACACTCCACTTAATTCTCTCCCTCCCAGACTCCAGAAATGCTTGATTTGGCTATGTAAAAGCCATTCTAATTATAGTGATTTACATGAACTACTAGCATTTATGCCTAATTACCTCACAGAACAATAACAATTACGCATATATTAAAAATGTAGATTAACCTGGTTGTAAGTCTTATTGATAACAAAAGTAAAGTGTTCATATATACTCATTCTTCATAGTTTGTTGCTCATACAGCATGGTCATCTGCTTATAAGTTTCTGAAATTTTTATTAAAGAAAATCTTATTATATAGGTAGGTGAAAGTGGCCAAACATGCCACCAATTTTATCACATTAATTAATAATTTTGGCATTTTGTGAAGGTGTATTTTATTTTAATATTGCAGCTTAGCTATAAAGTTTCATTGTACAATGAATGTTTAAACATCCGTTATTAAAAACAAAATCAAATGTTCATAAACTCATAGATTTTATTTACCAAAATTATAAATTCTATAAATAAAGTTCTTCTATCACTGGAAAAAATTTCCTTTTCTGATTATCGGCATACCAGTGCTTATGTTTTAAAAAAAGTAGGTCTGTGGCATCTTTACAATCTTTAAAACTAAAGCTTTGCACATGCTTTCCTCAAATTATGTTAGACAGTTGGGTCACTTTCACTGTTGAAGATCTGGTGGGTTGCCCTGACTGGTGTGGCTCGGTTGATTGGGTATGATTCCACACACCAAAAGATCACTGGTTCTTTTCCGTCAGAGCATATGCATGGGTTTCAGGTTCGGTCCTCAGTTAGGGTGCTAACGAGAGCCAGCCAATGTTTTTCTCTCTCACACTGATGTTTCTCTTTCTCTCTTCCTCCCTCCCTTCCCCTCTCTCTAAAAATAAATAAATAAAATCTTTTTAAAAAATGGATTTGGTGGGCTGAAGAAATTACAGTAGAACAAATATTACCACAAAGAGATTGATCTAACAACTAAACATTTATTTACATATGCATTTTCATTTAACAAATATAAGCTTTCATTGGAAACTACCTAACATGTCAAATCTCCTACTTACATAAGATTTACAACTACACAATAAAACCAGGGTTATTTACTAGACCCAACAGAGCCAATTCAGAAATCAAAGGTGGAAGTGTGAAAGAACACCCCTAAAAAGAGTCAAACAATAAAGGTTGGCCATCAAAAGGGGTAATTCATCATTATTCCCTATAACCATTATGCTGGGCTAGTTGACCACAGTGGCTATCATACTCATGGTCTACATCTGAGGGGAACTGCCATGCTCACAAGAGACCTGGGTGGTAACTTATGCAGAGATCTGATCTTTACACTGGCTGGTAGCCTCTGAAAAAAACCAGTGTGTAAGCTGGACTAAACACTGATGAAGCGATTGGTTGGCTCATCAGACTCTTACTTGGGGATTTAAACAACAGATACAAGCAGAGAATTTAGAAGTTGGTAAAACAAATAGAAGTGAAAATGGACGTGGGGATAAAGGAACAAAAGAGAAAGAGACTGCATGAATGGAAGAGCACTGGAGTAACTAGTACCTGCTACCACAGCCTTCAAATCAAAGCTTTTGGAACCACTGATTCTGTGGGCTCAAGCTCCATAAGGCCTGGCTGTGTGGTGGAGACACCCTTCGTTGTTATTTCCATATGTAGTCTTATTCTGAATCTCCATTTCTTTTTGTAACCTAAATGAACTTCCATTCCTTTTAGCCAAAAGATATTAATATAATAACAGCCTTTTACTTTATATAAAAACAAAATTTTAATTATATTCTCAGTGCTTTTTAAAAAGTAGAGTTACTTCAGTGGTTTTTAAATAAAGTACCACTAACATTTGTTATATAGTACTTTTCTTCTAAACACCTTCTACTAAATGAATATTTGTGTGGCAGGGGCAGAGGTGGTGATCTGGCAAATTAAAGGAAAACCAGTTTCTTAGGTTAAACCATACTCTAATTCATTACTATTACTATCCTTCATAATTTGAAGATGACACCACTGAGGACACTGAGTTCTACAATAAGCAAGGAAATAGTTTTCCTGTTACCTTACAATATCAGTAGAAGCTCAAAGCTGAGAATAAGGGGAGAGAAGTTCTCCTACACTCTTAAGAGAGGCACTAGTCATATCTATCCAGCAATTATTTAAAGAGAAAAAAGAAAAAAATCAGCTCTGAAACCAAAGTGGAACTGAAGAAAGTCATTAAGGTAGAAAGCTGTTCACTGGGTAAGAAATGCTGTGGCATTTCCGCAAGATAAACCTCATGCCAAGTACAGGGGTACCCAAAGAGAAGCATCTAAAGAGATGAGGATTGAGTGCAAGATAGGATGGGCAGGATGCTTGCTTAGGTGAGGAAATCCACAGTCAGCTAACAAAGTAAGGTGTGGAAGAGTTCATGGAAGAACTTGACACATCCTCAGGATCATGGGAGAATACAGGACAAAGACAGAGACTGGTGCCTACTTCTTATCTGCAGAAATCCAAGGGCAGGAGGCTGACTATGCCATGGCAGATGTTATGTTATGCTTGTTGTGGCCTAAGTGGACACCATAAAAGGTGATCTGGCTAGAGCTGCCCTGAAAGGACTCCACCCAAGAAGGCCAAGTGCAAGCGCAAAAGGGTCCCAGCAGAATGTAGAGGTGTGGGGTGTTCCGCCAGAGTCCTAAGAGGTCAAAGAGTAGAGCACTGGGAAGGTCCTCCGGGAAACCCCAGGGAACCCACCCACATGCCCCTCAGCAAAGAGCTAGCATGTCAACACCAAAGGCCCTTAATTGGTCCCTTAATACTCTGCTATTTCACTCTAATCTTCTACCCCTCTCATTCTGAGCCTAGAGAAGCCAGGCAAGCAGAGGAAGGAGGAGGGAAAGAACAAATCACTCCCCTTCTCCACTGCTGATCCTGGGCCATGCCTAAGCAAGAGAAAGGGGACGCTAAGAATGGAGCAGAAGTTTTCGTTTTGACTGGACAGCATCAATTATTACCTAAGCATGAAGCAATCTGAATCCCCCCAAGGCACACAAAAAAAGTTACGGAATATCAAGAGGTCAAATATGGGGATCCAACAGAGCTTGTTTAAAGAAACTGGTGGGAAATCATCAATCTGTTTCAGGGTTGTACCTGACTACATTTAATCCATTTTATTAAATGCTTATGCTTTTAACTGTTTAATCTTTAGCATCACATAAACCTCACCTTTGAAAAAAAGCCTTCTGCTTCTATACTGTATCCTTTAAGGTCCTCGTGCAATTTCTGCAAACAGTGTATGACTCTTCTTTGATGTTCGTCATCCTTTAACTCATGAGCTTTGATCAGAAAGTCATAGTGGTCCAGAGGTCCATGGCAAACAGCCAGAGCTTTCAAATAAGCTTCTGTAGCCACAGTTGGAGGCATACTCTCAGGTGTCTGAACTGTATAGGCTATGAACAAAAATATATATACAATTTCAGACTTTCTTAAATGAAGATATTTCATAGTGCTCTACAACGTTTAATGATCACAAAAACTTTTAACCACTTATAAGAAATATATCAAGCAGTTATTGTAAATGTCATTTTGATTAAAATATTATAAAACAATTTTGCACAATATATTTACAGTTACCTCATTTTAATAAAAGGGAAGAAATCCAAACCCATTAGGTTGTCATTACAATCCTTCTTCTAGAAAGTCTAACCTGCTGTACAGTCTCTGCTTTGCCTCTGCTCCCTTAAACGAGCCATCTGAGTTCATCAGACCTTCCCCATGGCAGGGTTTTGAGTCAGGCCTAATTCTGGTTCTTGAGTACCAAGGCAAAGATATGGAGACTAGTCACAAAGGGTTCTCTACTGCACTTTTATTCTCTATCCAAAACCACACAACACTGAGACATTACCACATGATTCCAGCCCCCTGATTATGAGATTCCTTCTTTTTGCCATACCTTTAGGTTGAACAGAAATAGCTGGGATACAAGAGTGTCCGTTTCTAGATAGGGTGGTGTTATGGTCCCTTTTTTGGCCTTCCTGGGAAAGAAATGATTAGCCATGATAAGGCCCAATAATAACTACATTTCTCATCTGGGGTAGTAGGTTCAATGAGTGGGTAACTATCATTTTTTCCCCATATCCTTTAATTTTTTATTGTTGTTCAATTACAGTTGATCCAATTTTTCCCCCATTGCTCTCCTTTTGCCCACCTGCCCCTCACTAGAAGCAAGAATAAACAGCAGTAAACTGGCATATTTTTTTAGAAAAGTATTTTGCATGTTTCCTTTGTTTCAATATGAAAACTACTTTAGAAAAAAATTAATGGTCCCAATGTTATTTTCATCTTTTTCCCAAGAGGAGAAAAAATTCTAAATAAACTATGAATATCGGGGCTAAGGCAGGGCTATCTTCTAATAGTTGTTCTCCCTTCCTGAATAGAAGTTTTAGTTGAGTACAAGCCTGCCCCATCAAATATTCCATTTCCTGACCTCTCTTACATCCCCAGTGGCCACGGGACCAGCTTTAACCATTGAGATGTGAGCTAAAATGTGTGCAGCTCTGCCACACGCCCTTAAAGGGCAAAAGCAACCCCCCACCTCCCTTTTCCTCCCTTCCCTCTGACTGGACTGAAAGTGCATGAGTGCAGCTGGAAGAGTCAACCCGGCAAGGAGAGGCACACAGAATGCTGACAACACAGAGCAAAGCTCTCCAACAATGCAGAGCTGCCAAACCAGCTCTGGACCACCTGCTTGGATTTTTATGTAAAAGAATAATAAACTTCCATCTAACATTTCAAGCAGTGTATTTCAGGGTGTCTTTGTTACAGAGGCCTAAACTGCACCCTAACTAATGGGGGGTTTTCAGTCTGCAGAAGAGAATCAAAGAGTCTCCTGGAACCTTGGGCCCCACAGGACCAGGAATGAGGCTTGGGTTCAGTGTAGAAACTGGAGGCCTAAGTTGAGAATTCTGTAAATGTTTCTAGCAATTTGAGACATTTACCAGTAGAGTATAAGAAGAAGTATATTTGGTGTTTGTCCACAGTCCCTAGCACAGGGGTCCTAAACCCCTGGAATTTTCTGAGTCTCTTTTGTTATTATAATGAGCACATTCCTATCACACCTGAGTTATGCTAGTGAGGTAACTTAGAGCAGGACCCCAAGATAGCTTCAGGACAGGGCTCATCCCCAGAAAGACCAGGTATAGAGAGGGTCAGACTTTCATCTCCACCTACTCACCTCCTGGAAAGAGAGTGGAAGCTAGAGGTTAAACTCTACAAACACTCCTGAGCATGAGATTTGAAAAGCTCACGAGCTGATGAATACAGAAGCGCTGCGAAGGCAGTACTCAATGGCAGGGCAAGGAAACTCTTATCCCTTGCCCTGTGCATCTCTTCCATTTGGCTGTTTCTGAATTGTCCTTTATAATAAAGTGGTAAACATAAGTAAAGTGTTTTCTGAGTTGTGTGAGACATTTCTTGCAAATTATCAAATGTGAGGATTGAGGAGTTATGGCAACCCCTAAATTTGTAGTTGGCCATGCAGAAGTGTGCATAGCCTGGACAGCCCATTGCAGCTGGCATCGGAAATGGGACCAGTCTTGTAGAACTGAGCCCTTTTAACTTACGGGATCTGATGTTACAACTCAGGTAGTGTCAGAATTGAACTGAACTGTTGGATACCTATTAGTACTGAAGAATTGAGAATCTCACACTAGGGAAAATGCTCTTTTCCACCCCCTCCTTGAATTTTCTGGAGTCAACCAGGTAGGAAATCCAGGAGTAACACTAATTTCCTCCCTACTCCATCCCACAGTCTCTTTCCCTAGCCCTCACCCAGGTCCTCAAACAGTCATCAGTGCTACTCAACTGTACATCCTAAGCACTCTCAAAACTATTTCTTCCCTTCATCATACTACAGCACCCCAGCTGAGGCCATCCCTAACTTAGCCTCCCTGCCTCTGATCACTGTCTGGTCCAAATTTACCAAGACCACAATCTCTAAAGTATCTATAATCAATTACAGGAATGATCTTGCTAAAATTCAAATGTGATTTTCTCATTTTGCTTGAAATTCATCTCATTGTTTAAAGGAATGGTTTTCAAACATAATATTAACAGCACCACCTATTTTACATACAAAACCTTCCATGGAATCCTAAATTTTTTAAAGAGAAAAGTGGGAAGAGGGACATAAAGTCCTACCCTCTTCATGTCTCTCATTCCCACACCCATACCACCCCTATTTCCAGAGCAGCCCCTGAATCCACCTTCCCACCTATAGAATCACATTAAGTATGAATAGCATGAAAAAATTGTGTGCGTGCCTAAGACTACTCCCCTTAGAACAGCCTGCTTGCAAAGGTGAGCCCTCAGCTGGCAACTTGGATTCCAGGAGGGTTCCCACCATCCCCAGAAATGGTAAGTATTACTCACTGGGCATAAATGTCTGTACCATGAACCAGCAATGTGGTTCATGTTGAACACCTAGTTTCCTTCTACAAGTCTAGAATTTTAGCACATATTGGGTAGAGAGGCCTATGTTACTGCCCCCCTAACCCTAGGCATTGAGTCTTTAGTGAACTTCCCTAACACAAAACATTTCACACCAGTTACCACAACTTGTTGCTGAAGGAATTAAGCATATTCTTTCTATGTGACTGCACTGGGAGAAGACTCTTGGATAGATGCTTGCACCTAATTTTCTCCAGATTTTGCTCCACATGCCTTTTCCCTTTACTGATTGTGCTTTGTATCCTTTAACTATAATCAGTCATGTCTATGAGTCCAACTATATGCTGAGTCTTGTGAGTCCTCCAAGTCACCAAACCTGAGGGTAGTCGTGGGGACCCGCAGCAAAGGCAGCATCCTCATTCTGGGGTTCACGGAATCCACACTAGGGTCCCAGCCCACATTTCCAGACCACTGTCTCTCTACTCTCCAAAATGCATTTGTTCACACAAGAAATGACTTAGACCCACCACATGTAATAGGTAATGCAATGGGAAATAGGGAAAAATCAAAGTTTTTTTTAAGTGGAGGTAGAAGAGACGAAAATATTCCATCAGTAATATTCCTTAGTAATATATTAAGTGGCAATAGTAAATAAAATTAATTTGGGTACAGAGAGACTAGTTATGAAACTGGTATTCTAAGTGGTAAATATTAAAGGCCCAAATTAGAATGGGTAATAGCAGGAATTAAAATTATTTTGTGATTATAAGGTTTTTACACTATTTGAAAATGGACTTGTGTCCATTGTAGATATATATCAAAAACTCTAGGGCAACTACTAAAAAAAGATGTTTTAAAATGATGTTTAATTGATATGCTAAGAAAGGAGAGAAAATGGAATCATATAAAATGTGCAATTAAAACCACAAAACAGGCATCTCTCTCTTCCCCTCTCTCTAAATCACACCTGTACCTTTGCCCCACTCCTACCCCAGGCACATCCTCTCTGCTTTTCTTTGTCCTGAGCTCCAACGGCCCTTCTTCTGCCTCTGTAACTTGTTTCCTGAGTCCATGTAGCCCAGTGGGCTCACTTCTTCTACCTCTGTGACTTTCTAAATAAACTTTTGCTTGTATGTGGGGGGAAAAACGCAAAATAGAAAAAGAGTAGGTAACAAAATAGGAACAAAGAACAAAAGCAACAAATAGCAGTAACAAATATGGTAGATATTAATCCAACTATATCAATAATTACTTTGAATGTCAATGGTATAAAACACCAGTTAAAAGACAGATTGTCAGACTGGACCCTACTATATGCTGTCTACAAGAAAGCCACTTTTTTTTTATTTAGTTATTTTTCAAGTACAGTTTTCTGTCTATTTCTCCCATCCCAGCCCCCCCTGCCCCATGCTCCCCACCTCCCTCCCATTTCCACCACCCCTTAGTTATTGTCCCTGTGTCCTTTATACTTGTTCCTCCAAATCCCTCCCCTTTATTTTCCCCTTAAATTCCCTCCCTTCTCCCCTCTGGTCGCTGTCCCCTTGTTCTCTATTTCAGTGTCTTTGTTTTTATTCTGCTTGCTTGTTTGTTTTGTTGTTTAGCTTCCTGTTAAAGGTGAGATCATATGGTATTTGTCTTTCAACCCCTGGCTTATTTCACTCAGCATAATGCTTTCCAGTTCCATCCATGTTGTTGCAAAGGGTTGCAAAGAGCTCCTTCTTTCTCTCTGCTGCATAGAATTCCATTGTGTATATGTACCATAATTTTTTGATCTATTTACTTACCGACGGGCACCTAGGTTGCTTCCAACTCTTGGCTATTGTAAATTGTGCTGCTATGAACATTGTGGTGCATAGGTTCTTTGATACTGATGTTTTAGGGTTCTTAGGATATAATCCTAGCAGTGGAATTGCTGGGTCAAAAGGCAGGTGGATTTTTATTTTTCTGAGAAAATTCCATACTGTTTTCCATAATGGTTGTACCAGTCCGCAATCCCACCAAC